TCCAAGGCTAGTGTGTGGGCAGAAGACCCAATGGCTGCTGGCTAGATGGTTTCAAGGGAGGTGGGAAGCCCTGGAGAGGTTAAAAACCTACCCCCTCGGTGAGCAAGAGGGGCCATCACTCATGGCCTATGGGCCTCCAAATGTTTTCATCTTCTGTGTGTGTCATGACATGAAAAAGGTCAGAAAGCTCTGTCCCTTGACATCATCCTATTTATTTCCTTTGAGGGACATATCATGATCTGCAGTTGTCTTGTTTATTTTGTGTGTGTGTTATATCTCTTCAGTCAAAATGTGAGATTCATAAAGGCGAGGCCCTCTTATCTTATCTCAGCACAGAGAGCAATGCTAGCACAGGAAGCACTTGACAAGTGTTTGCTGAATGAATGCATAATGAATGAAAACATCTAGCCTGGACTAGGTGCTCAGGGAACATTAGTTTTCTTCCTGAGGATCTTGGTTAGCTAGGGAATACTGAGATCAACCCCTTAGGAGTTAAACACTGCACAGAAATGAAAGAGGGAATGGGAGGTAAGGTGGAGGTGGGAGATGGGCTGTGGCAGCGGAGTATAGACAGGGCCAAAAGAAGGGGGGCTCATGGGAAGGTTTTTTTGTGACAGTGTGTCAGCCCTCCCTAGGGAAGAGGTGGTTGGTTAATCATCTGACTGTGTTCATCAGTGTGACATGGTTTAGAAAGTACAGACAGCAGTACTACCTTCTGTGTGGCCTTGGGCAGACCGTGAGACTACTGTGAACCTCAGTTCCCGTATCTGTTGAAGGGGCAATCCTTGTTCTGCCAGTGTGTTTCTTGCTCCATGGGGGCTGTCGTGAAGTGAGGATGAGATAACCGGTGGGGATGTGCTGAGCACTCATAAGCAATTTTTACTTTGGTTATTTTCTCAAAACCCCTAAAGGAAGTCCTTTGTTATTTTCTGTTATTATCTTTTATCATTAATCAGGATTTCCTCCTTCTGCAGGAGAACGAGCTGGTGCATTGCAAGCTCTGCCCTAAATCTTAGATCACGAAGACTTGGTCCTTGAATAAAAGACACGCACCTCCTCACTCACTGGGCCCTGGATGGGGAGGGTGCCTCCTCTTAGAGCCCCCCAGGGGCTGGGAGAGCCTCGGAGGGGCCCTTCATGGCAGCCGGGAGGCAGCTCTTCACACCCTGCCTTCCTCTCCCTTAGGTACAAGACGGTGGTGACCCCACGGCGGGCGGCGGTGGCCATCGCTGGCTGCTGGATCCTCTCTTTTGTGGTAGGCCTGACACCTATGTTTGGCTGGAACAATCTGAGTGAGGTGGAGCGGGCCTGGGCGGCCAATGGCAGTGTAGGGGAGCCCGAGATCAAGTGTGAGTTTGAGAAGGTCATCAGCATGGAGTACATGGTCTACTTCAATTTCTTCGTCTGGGTGCTGCCACCGCTGCTCCTCATGGTCCTCATCTACCTGGAGGTCTTCTACCTGATCCGAAAGCAGCTCAACAAGAAGGTGTCAGCCTCCTCTGGTGACCCACAGAAGTACTACGGGAAGGAGCTAAAGATCGCCAAGTCGCTGGCTCTCATCCTCTTCCTCTTCGCCCTCAGCTGGCTGCCCCTGCACATCCTGAACTGCATTACCCTCTTCTGCCCTTCCTGCCACAAGCCCAGCATCCTCATCTACATCGCCATCTTCCTCACACATGGCAACTCGGCCATGAACCCCATCGTTTACGCCTTCCGCATCCAGAAGTTCCGGGTCACCTTCCTCAAGATTTGGAATGACCACTTCCGCTGCCAGCCTACACCCCCTGTTGACGAGGATCTCCCAGAAGAGAGGCCTGATGACTAGACTCCACCCTCTGCTCCCACTAGCCCACACCCAGCGGGGTCTCAGCCCAGGCCTCACCTGCCTGCTGTCCCGCTGGTCTCCCTGAGTCTGCCCTGGCTGGGCTGTGGGCATAGGGGAGGCTCTGAAGAGATAGATGCCCACAGGGTTGGGGTTCCCTCCACAAAGAGCTAAGTTCCCTGTACCTGTGAGGCCTGCAGGGGATTAGGGGAGGCAGCCCATGGGTAAAGAAGTGGGTATCTTGCTGTGAGATAAAGTGTCTTGGGCCCCCACGGGCCTGGCCATCCCATGGGCAGTCCAGAGCTTCAGGGCTGGGCAGGTCCTTGGGAGGCTGAGATGGCAGAGGAACCCCCCAGGCTGGGAGAAGGTGCTTGGGCTTCTGCAGCAAGGCAGGGGAGTCTGCTTGTCTTAGGTGTTGGTGGTGCTGCCCTGGGACAAAGCTAAGGGAGAGGAAAGGATCCCTACTGAGATAGAGGGAAGGAGGAAATCTGGTGATGTTCTGGCCTTGCTTCTCTTCAGAAGCAGTGAAGGGGCAGGAATCAA